CTTATTTATTTTTGGCCGCCTTTCGTGGCGGTGCTGGGCATAGGTTAACTGCTGGGAGCAGCGGCGGAGCAGGGTTAGGCAGCCCGCTGTGGGGCAGAGCGGGCGCTGTGGGTTCCGCAGGACCCCAGCCACATCCTGTGCACGTCTGCCTTTTAAGTATGGGGCCAAGCTGAAAGGGGAGCATCTGAATCCACCCTGTAACAGCCAGGGCACCTCATCCGGGGATCAGAAAACGAGCTTGCCTGCTTCGAGAGCTGCCTTCGTGGTACCCCCGTCTCCACAGTGTGGAGAGCCGGCATATCTGCTGCTGTAGCCCCTATAAAGATTTTCACATAACCTTTTCTAGCAGGAATAGCGCTGGGAGAGCACATGACGTGCTGCGGCTGATTACGAAGCTGGATTTGTTGACAGCTCACCCTTGAAATATTCTGCAGTGATACAGATGTGTTCTGGGGCTTTACTCCAGCAGATCTGTTCCTCCCTCACACTAGCCTGGGAGTTCACTTCAGGAAGTGAACTGAAAATCTTAAAGTAACCTCTGTTAGCTGCGGCGGGCATTAGACTTTCCTGTCTCCACAGATGTGCCTTGATAAATTGTCTGTATAGCAGGAAAGAGTTTTCATTTCTGAAACATGAACATTCAGCAAACATTTTTAAATGTTGTGCTGACTGCTACCTCTGGTCCAGATATATATACAACAGAGAATAATAAGTAACTGTCTCTGAGATTTGTTCTCTAGAAACTGCCATATCACTGTTGAAGTGGCTTAAATACCATCTTTCTGAAGGGAGCAGGGTGAGACCACACTGATTTGGTAAATGATGGTTTATACAGAACTGGTAAAGATCCTGTTATATCTTCCTGTGTGTCTTAGAAATGACAAAAGAGGCACTAATATTTTTAGGTTATATACAGATTATGTACTTTACTTCCCTATATGCCTAAACCAGTCGTATCCATCAGAAAGGCTATCAACCTCATGTTTAATTTGGATTGCCAGAATGCTGAAGTTAGAGTTAACTCATTTATCCTGAGATGTGAGTTGCCGTGTTGATTGCCAACGATTTGTAAATAGCCATGTTTCCTTCACTAGGGAGCAGGGTGAAGAAAAATGAAAGGTCATCCATGGGTGCTTTGGAGTAGGTGGATGTGATGTGAAATGTGCTGACAAATCTCTGTGACAGTGGGTGGTTTTGTGTGGGGTGGGGATTTTTTTGTTTGTTTTTAGTGTGATGACTGTATGAATAAGTCTTATCTGAAAGTAATACAATAAAATTGTAGACTGGGAGAATTTATTTGACCCAGATATTGGATTTGTTGACATTGTGGTTTTCGGGCAACATTTGACTGAGATTAACATTGAAAAGCAATATCATATTGGGCTGGTTAAGTCACTGGCGCCTACTATGGTTAAAATATGAATAGATCGACTTCCTCTCTCTTTTCCTTTGTGTGCATTTGTATATGAAGTTTTCTAGATCCTTCCAAGTTGTTTAAAGTCGAACAGTTACTTGCAACTGTCTTGATTTGTTGTCTTTTGTTAATGTATCTTATACAACTTACATAAGCCTATGCAAGTATGTAGATAAGTCCTTTCCTTCCAGTGTAAAGCTGTAGTGTGAGATAATAAAATACCCACTTTATTATGCATTCAGTAACCACTTACTATTGCTGTTTTGGGGAGCCTAACATATTTTAATAGAGGTTATGTATCTGTATGGCTCCCTTGGTTTCTTAGTCATGGGTGACAATTCCTAGTTAGCCGCAGTGTATCCTGTTGGGAAGAGTACCTTAGAGGTGGTAAGGAACTTGCCAGTATCCTAAACATAGGGAGCTTCATACTCAACAAAAGGAGTCTGACATGTTAAGTCCACTGCTTCGTCTGAAATGTTTTAAATGAAAAAAAATATGAACCTTCCAGTTTTAATTGTTAACTAGCACAGCTGTTTATACAGACCTGAAATGCAGGGCCTGAGTTATAAAGCAACGTAAGTAAAACCTTCATGCTAGGTACATTCTCGGTTGCATTTCTTGAATCTTCTTGATTCAATCTACTTGAATCTTCTCATAAATTTGTGCTCGTTGTGTAAATCAGATTTGCTAAATAGTTGAGATTAAATTAGATTTAAATTTGACTTGTGCAAAAGCCCATAAATTTTATTTTTTCTGATAGCTGCCTAGAAATGCGTGGTCTTAAAATGGGACTAGCTACTAGTACTAGAGTACTGAGTGAAGATTCGTGTTGCTCTTAGTTCAACAGTGCTGTTCAAAGGGCCTGGCTGACAACAGCAGCGATGGAATTTGTGCATTGCTATGAGCTATCTTGTCCGATGAAGCAGAATTACTTCTGACTTGCTACCATGACATCTGTGTTGTTTCTAGAATTGTAACAACTACCTTTTAGTCTAGAGTCAGACAAATCTAGTGCGAAATTACAATTTTCCATTTTTTCAGCATTCTGCTGCAGTATCTTGTTCTGCATCTAAGATTAGCACTTCTCCAATCAGTTGCTGCTAAACTTGCAGAGAGACTCTCAGGATGTTGTGTTGTTTAGCTTCTGCATATTCATGGTAGCTTAATTGGCACCTTAATAGAGGATTTTGTTTGGTATCAGAAGAATTTGCATATCTTACCAGCTCCCTGATATCTGAGGTGTTTGGAAACTGGAGTACCCAAAATAGCATAACCTTTGTGATGTAGCCCATGTCATGGTGTGTAACATCTGGTGGTACTACCTGCGGGCATCCTTGCCCAGTGTCTTGTATCTAGACTTGTCTCTGAGGTCCTTGGGTCACAAAGCCCACTGAAGCTGGAGGGGCAGATGGCTGATGTACCTGGGCCAACGGGTGCTACTCCTTTTCCATGAGCCAAGCCAAGTCAGCACAGAGCTCTGAACTCTTTTGAACGTAATTGGGTCTCAGCCCGAAACTTGCGGAGTTGTCAGCAGTCATAGTGTGGTTAAGCAGTAGTTTAGAAGCTCTCCTTGTACGGTTAACTCAGATAACACAATCGGTTTGAAAGCATGTAGCAGTTTCCTTATGGCACTTGCTGAAGCCTAAAGCTTCTGTGGGCATCTAGACCAGCAACGGCTCTTGGACTTTTAGCTAATCTTTGAAAGACTGGTTGTCTTGGTTTTCCACATGCTGCCTCAGCTGTGGATCCACTCCAGTTTCTAGGTCAGGATCACTTAGATGCAGTTAGGTACTGAATACCTTGTTCCCTATTATGTAACACTTGGGCTACACTCATACAGCAGCACTGTTCTCCCTCTAGTTTGCCTGGAGGAAACGGGCTTTGCATTAGTAAGCCAGGATGTTGGCTTTATTCAAATTTGTACTACAAAGATGAGCACTGCCTTGATTGTCCTGTCTGTGCCAAGTTTATATATATGTATTCAGTGATGCAACTTCTGCTCTTTCTGTGGCAAGTTGAATGTACAGTATGCTAGAATTCAGTGCCATGTATAAGGGTCCCTAAAATTCAGCCTGCTGCTGTTTCTTGGAGCTAAATACTCTCATTAGTTAAACACAATCTTTTATTCTTTTATAGCTTCGACAGTTGATCTCTCTGCCAATGTTACTACAACATCTACCAATGCTACTACAGCCCCTGCCAATGCTACTACAGCATCTACCAATGCTACTACGGCCTCTGCCAATGCAACTACAGCCTCTGCTAATGCTACTACAGCTCATACAACTATAGGTAATGTGAAAAGATGCAGATGACTGGGTCACTTTGTAAACAACTCTCTGAACTTGGAAGTATAGTGTGAGTTATAATGCAATGTATGTTGCTAGGATTGCTCTCTATACTGAGTGGAGGACAGTGAATGGCAATGAACCAAGTACTGGTGAATAAAGGACAAGGGCCTTTTCACAGACCACTGTAGTGAAGTGACTACTAACATGTGAGGTGGGGAATACAAAAATAGTTTCAAGGTTTGGAAGAAGCAGTTTATGTAATAACTTTTTTTTTTTTCCTTCAGATATGAATAGCTATAAAGTGGCCCAGTGAAAGCCATTTGGTTTGGGTAACAATTAATGCATAGCGGAAATAGCTAATGAATTTGACTGTGTATGTTGCCCAGTCCTAACATTTTTGCTTTTACACATGCAGTCATCTTAACAGTGGTGTCTTAAAATCCTAAAAACAGTTCTTTAAAAGCATCCCCAGCTGAAGGGAGCTGCTTGGTAGCAAGATGCAGAACTCGACTGGCCCCCAGAAGCCTACAGTAGGCTTTGAGTGCACTTACAAACATTGGTGCTTGTCACAGCTACATACTGGGATACTTATTTTTAAGTAAAACTTGTTTTCTGGAAAAAAAAAAAGTAGGGTGGGGAGGGTTAGAGATCCAGAGTTCAGTGTTGATAACTGAAGGACCTTTAGGACATCTTCTGGTTGCACTGTTCTCCTATTTTAATAATATCCCTGGCGATTAATGATTTTCAGAAAGTCATGGTATACAGTGAGTGTTCATCTCCTGACCTCCAATCCCAGAGGTCCTGGGATTAAGTACTTGTTCAGTATAGTATAAACTGATTCTAAAGGCTCCTTCATAAAAGTCCTCTGCCTTGATGCAGACTCTTGGTTGCCTTCTATGGAAACTGCTTGATTCTTGATTCTTATTCAGGATCTCCTCTTGATTCTTATTTCAGGATCAGCATTCACATTGGAGTTTGAAAGAAAAGGGTTTTTTTTGTCTGAGTGAAGGATCACTGTCTGATCTATAGAGAACCTTGAAATACTTGGCTGACAATGGTATGGTCGGGTTGCAAATTAAAAAAGCAATCCTTATTGCAGAAATCTGTCTTAATGCCATGCAGCTGAACATCTAAATAGTGTGGGGGCAGCCTGAAGTCAAAGCTTATCCTTGTTGGAGCACAGAAAGACAAACCGTTTGCATAAGAACCTAAATGCTTGTGAACTTTGCTCTTGTAAGCTCGTGGTGTGTACATACTCTCTGAATTTCAATTTTCTCTCAAACAGCTAACGTCACTAATGCAACTACACATGCGCCTCCAGTTACAACTGCCACCTCAGCCCCCAAAACAACCAGTATACCAGGTAACTTTTGAGAATCAGGAGTAGTTTGTGGAATGTTAAATGTCAGAAACATGTTGGTCAGGCTAAATCAGTTGACTGCTTTTAATAGAGTGGCTATAACTGATTTTTAATTTGGATGTGGGGCCTCTTACTTTTTGGGAGGGGTTGTTCCGTCTTTGTGTTTCACTTGCAGCATATAACTGGATGCCTTAAAAGAGATACTGGGCCACAGTGGGAATTGAGTCGACGTATTTTATTTTGGCTTCAGTCCTAAGTATTCCATGAAGTGAAGCTTTTTAAAACTAGCCATTAGCAGATGTCTATAACTTCTAGATTCTTATCTGTTGTGGCTTCAGTGAATTTCTTTAAGCATAACTCTTGGGGTAAAATAGAATAGATGGAAGATAATTATTTAATGTGAATTTCAGCCAAAAAAAAAAACCAGCGTAAAATAATTTTAAGTGCTGTCCACTCATACTGTATTGTGGTGTTTAACAGGTACAAATGCTACTGTGACTCCTGCCCCTTCTCCGCGCAAATCTACATTTGATGCTGCCAGTTTCATAGGTGGAATTGTCCTTGTGCTGGGTCTACAGGCTGTAATTTTCTTTCTGTACAAATTCTGCAAGTCGAAAGACCGAAACTACCACACGCTTTAGGACCTGCCACTTTACAATGGACTAGTAGCCCAACACCTGTAGTTCACTGAACCAAAATATCTTCTGTTGCTCATGGAAGACAGCAGTCCATAATATCCTTTAAATCTCTAAAAGAAGACTTAGAAGAATATTTTTGCAACATTATATTTGGCGAGAGGTGTTATAAATCTCCAAAAGGATTACTTGCAATATGCTGCATGGGTTCTAATGGCTGTCTAATTTTTCTTTTGTGGCTGCTGCTGTGGGACTCTCTTCAATATGCCAAATGTAGACATTCACAGATTCTTGTATGTGGCGGTGATAACACCGTCTTAAGTAGACAATCTCATGGTTACTTATTCTGAAGTCTAATTTAATCAACCTATGATGCAGTATCCCTTTAGTTTTATCAAGATGTGAATTATTGGTGACTGACTTCAGGGAGTGAAATACCATTTTTACTAGCTTGTGGCCCTTACAGCACACTGCTAGAAAGGCGAACGGAATTTCTAGTAGATAATGTCTTAATGAAATAAAATAATAGCCCTTTTCTAACACAAGAATAAAGATTGCTTGGTACAATACTGCATTCCAAACTAAAATCTTGTGCCCTTTCCAATCAATGCTGAGGGTGGAGAGGGGATGTATGGATAATCTTCATGAAGGGGAAATGAAGATTAGTGCCTTAAAAGACAAAAAGTTAATAGGCTGCAGAAGGGTCCCTCTTATCTCAAAGGTAAACAAAATATATTAGGTACTAGCTTTTTATACAGGAGAATGGAATATGAGTGACTTTAAGCATTCCAGTTTCAAAACTTCCCGCATTAAACATGGGCTCCTCATTGATCTGATTTCTGAGGATGAGGGAGCATGGTACAGTAACCTTCAGCTCTAGGCAGAGGATGCCAGTTGTTGACCTTCTGTTCTGGCCTGCCAGTACAAAGTGTGACACAAGTGACAAGAGTCAGGACAGTTCACTCCCTGCATAAACAGGCAGCAACATGCATTTATACTTGAAATACTGGTGTTAGGGAAATCGTGAGGTTTTCATTCTTTCAATGCTTCTTAAATTTACGTGTTATAGTTAATTTCTGTATTGTCACTATCCCAGCCCCCTACATGCCTGCTTGCTGAAGGAGCAGGAGAGTGTAGCTTGGAGGGGCTGCCGATCGCTGATTTGACCCGAATCAGGGTGGTCACAGTCCTGGGACTGCTCAGGCCTTTGTGAGGGTGGACAGGGAAGCCTTGTAGATTGTGTAGGGTTTTTGATTTATTTTGGTCTGCTTGGTTTTGCCCCCTTCCTTATCACGTTTGTATGACCCTGAAGTGAACTGGCTCAAGCAACCTATGCAGCCAGATACAGATAATTTTTTTTTTCCTCCTTTTTTTCTTCTTGGCTGGATCAGGTTGCTGTCAGAGTGTCTGCAGAGGTTCATCCTCTCCAGTGTAGATTGACTTGGGAACCTGTGAAAATAAACCCATAAGAAAAATGGAAGTAAAGATCGAAGGAAGTGGTGGGTTTAGCACTTGATACTTATCTTGTGGTGTGGATTGACCAATATCCCTTGATCTTCAATGTTGGGAGAATCTGTAGCACTGTCTTTCTAGACTGACTTGACTAGAACTTGGCACCCAACACAACACAGTGACCGCTTTGATGCAAATAATAGTCACAGCAGCGTAGCTTCAATATAAAGCAAATTAAGTGCACTTTAGTTGCAGTGTTGCTTTCCTGTGTTCTTCTAGTTTCTGTTGTGCTGCATAGAAAACTGAAGTTGCTACAAAATGCAAAGGTTAATCACTGGTACTGTATCTTCAAATTTATTAGCTTGTTTTCTAAACAAAACTAAGACAATCAGCTCAGGTTTAATGAACAGAGGAGTGAGCAGCCAGTTCCCAGCAACAGTGTATGGATTAGATGGCATATCCTTGGCCTTATTATGAAATCACTTAATCTGTCCTTTCCCTGTCTCTGAATTACTTTATTACATTTATTCTTTAAAAAAAAAAAAAAGATATCCATGAGCTTGTGTTCTGTGCTTTAAAATGAGCAAAACACTCTTCAAAAGTGTGGCAGAGATCTCCTTCAGCTCAGTGGAGCAAACTGTATTTCTAGTGTATAACTGGGAGGGCTTAAAGGGCTGTCTTCTGAGAAATTTGCAGAGAAGTTCTAGAGGATGCTTCACAGCATGAAAGACATAACCACATAAAGTTGTTGCTCTGTAGAATATTGCAAAGATGCTTACTCATGAGCTGTGCTGATTCCCATTTAGTTCACAATGTATGCTGATGAAGCAAACTAAAATAATTTTTGAAGTGCCTTAAAGTTGCTTAATCTTTTGCCTCAAATTTGTTTAAAAGGTATAAGGGGTATCTTGCCTTAGTTACTAAATTCTCCTTGGTGCCAGCACATTGCTACTTTCCAAGACTTTAGGAAACCCAGGACCTCTGCTGTGTACAGATGCCAATCTGGAAGAAACTCAAGCTGAATTTAGTCATGTTCTGGAGGGCCTGCGCTGCACATAGCTTGCTGAGCAGCCTTGCCTAGCAGCAAGATGTAATCCACAGTTCACAGAGTTGTGGCTAGGATCGTTTCCCATGGATTTGCTTGGCTGGAGGGGCTGGGTTGCACATCTTCACCATGTGCTTGGCTGCCTCACTAGAGCAGGTAATGACTCCTTTGCAAAACTGCAGTAACGGCTAACCTGTGCCGTGTACTAGCAAACAACTTGGAAGTAAGAACTTGCAGTTTTCCTTGGCCTCGTGTTCTGAAGTGGAAGGTAGCTCATTGATCTGTAGTCGTATTTGCCCCGAAATCAGTTTTAGGCACTGAACTGTAGTTATCTGGCTTTTTCTTGAAGCCAACTTGTGCAAGTATTAAGCTGTTATCTTATGAATGTTCTTTGCAAGTGTTGCTGTTAAAGTTTGTATTTCGTCTTCAGTGGAGGAAAACCAAAACGGTTGTAATTGCAAAACCAAATTGATAAATAAAATCTGTCAAATGAATTTTTACTTGTAAGCTTTCTCTTATGTGATCTGAGCAATCCCAGAGGGACCTTCTGCCAGCTTCCTGGATGTTGTCTATGATAATCAAAAAACACTGGAAAAAGAGAGAATAAAAGATTTGAAGAATTTAGAATTATTGTGTTTTATATATAGTATTAGCCTGGAATTGGGGATATAGAACAACACACCGATTCAGATGTAGAATTGTCTCCAAATGACTTCTCATGTCGATTGTGTTTTCCATGTTAATTTAGTCCTGTTCTCCCCTTAAAGCCAAAACGTAACAAGATATTGCCAGTTCCTCTCGATATTACCTGTTCCTCTTGCAACAACCTGTAAGTCTTATTGATCAATGCCCCTTTTTCCAATAGCGATATTGGACTTCAGCCTGTACAGCAGAAGAGACACAGCAGCCTATAACGTGGCTCCCGTCGGACAGTTACAGCCCCGATGCTCTAGTTTTGGTTTATGGTAGATTATTAACCCACAGAGAAAAAAATTATTGCTCTGAGCTTCCTTTCATTCCTGATTATACAAGAGAGACAACAAGGGTTCGGACTCTGCTAATTGTGGAAGTGTCCTGGAAAAGGATGCAGTGCTGTACTCATGCAGTGACTAAAGTGAAACTGGCACCGAGTGAAGCAACCTTAGCGAGTCCTCTGTGATTACTGAGTGAGGTGTGAGTGTGTCACCTAGGGTATTGAGGTAACTGTCTCACACCATAGGAAAGCTGCAAAAACTTCAGTATTGTAACACTAAAGTGCACTTTACTTCAATTGCAATTTTAGCAAAACAGCAAAAATGTTAGCACGGTCTTCTGTGTTTTTGCCACTCAGTTTCTATGGATATAGATCTTTGTTTAGATGTCCTGAGCTTCAGCAAAATTGTTGACACCACAGAAATGATGCTTTTCTGTCCAGTTTCTTGTTCCTGCTTAGCACAGATCAGCTAACTTGAATGTGAAAACTTAATCTGTTGAGCAAGGTGTAACCGTTTTTGTCATCATGTTTCTACTTGCTCTTTGGACATTGTCCTGTGCTTTACAAAATACTTATTTTTAAAGTCAGCAGAGCTGCCTAGAAAAGCTGTATGGAAACAGAGGAAATTTAGAGCCTCTTAACGTATTGGGAATTCTGTCTTCCAGAAAAACAGCCATTACTTTATGCAGTCAATGTATGGGGATATTCTTTTACTTGTAAATTGGCATGAGGTTCCAGACGCTACACTGGCACTTGATGGCAGCATTAGTGACCTTGGGGAGTTAGTAGTCGCCTTTCCCATCCACCTGAGCCGTACCTTAAAAATAACTTCTGTTACTTGCTGATTGATTTTTATAACATCCTAATTGCATCAAAGCAAACTTTTACTATAACACCGTAGCAGTAAGCTTAAATGGAGTACCCTTCGTTATTGAAAGAAGCTTTAGCAGCCTCCTTCTAGGAGCTGGCTATCTAAAAATCCAACAGGTTGTTAAGGGCTGCTTGAATTTACAGATGGATCCAGATGGATCTTAAGATTAATTTTGGAGGAGGGGCAGGCTTTTTATTTGGTTGTATGGTTTTGTTTTTGTTTTCCTTTCTAAAAAGGGGGATCTGATTGTGTCCACCAATGTTAATAGGACTGGATGATGCTACAAGGCGCATAGGTTGCCTGTTGCAACTCGTCATCAAAAACTGCAAGAAAACTTGATGCACTTTGAGAGAAAACTTTGATTTTTTTTATTGTCAGATTTATCAGAGCAGCTTTTTTTTCCCTCATGTGAGAGAAATACAGGTAAGAGCCATGAATTTATGCACATATTTTTCTGTTTCATCCTTGGGGTTACTGAGGGTTGTGCAAGTGCTGCCCTTTCTTTCCCTTGCAGGGGGAAGGGAGAGGCAGGAGCACCGCAGAGCTGATGTGTCACCTTGAAGCAGGCAGGAAGGGGTCAGGGGTTGTGAGCACCACTGTGGGCAGGATGTGGTGGCCTAGGCTTATAATAAGGGCACAGTTGTAAAAGCAAACCCAGTGCTTTGGCTCTGAAAACTCAATTATAGTTCGTGCTGCTGTGTGACCACAGCAAAAGGAAGCTTTTTAGTTTTGACCAATGTCCTCATTGCTGCACTGTCTCTCTGTACTGTGCTGCCTTTGAAGAAGGGACATCCAGCACTGTTCTTGCTCAGAAGAAAGATCTGTGTCACCCAGTAAAGCAGAGATCCTTGCTATAGCTGGCATTGAGCACTATATCCAAAGACATTGAGATATATGTGTATATATATGCTCAGCACTGCAGGGCTACTTTATCCCTTTCGTTTTTGTATAAATTGCTCTTTTCTTCCTCCAAGACTTCCAGGTTAGTGGCAGGGTTCAAAACACTTTCTGGGTTGAACAGAAGTGCTTTTTTTAGGCTTCCTTTGGCCCAGGCCTTGTTCCTGTAGCTGCACGAAGGTGGTAGGAAGAGGTTTTTCATCCAGATGTGGCAATAGCATAGCTGCCATTCTCTCCTTCCCTCTGCTGGGCACCTAAAGAGTAAGTAGCATAAAAAGAGTCACCAAGCACAGCATGGCACTCCAGTCTAGAAAAAAAAGGTCCTCCCTGTATTATTGCTAGCTAAACACCAGCAAAAACAAAAGGTCCAGCGTAAAGCAGCCAAGATGATTAAGGGACTGGAGCATCTATCGTATGAGGAAGGACGAAGCGAGCTGGGCCTGTTTGGCCTAGAGAAGAG